TCTTGGGTGGCGGACTGTTACATTGGCTGTGTTAGCCTAGATCTTGGCATCAGTGATGTTAATTCAACTTTCCATACTTTCAGTTGCTCAGTCTCACAAAGCAAGACAGCTTCTAAATCATCTGGCCCATAAAATTCTGGTTCACTAAATCGGCGACTTATTTTAAAGGCTTTCCCGAAAATATCTGCCCCCTTTTACTTTGAGTAGAGTCAACAAAGAGTAAGACAGAATTCTCACCTTCACCGATGCCAGAATTAGAAATAAAGTAAAGCTATCCCTGTAACAGGCCATGAAGGCCGATAGGGTTGTGAGACGTTGAGGGTCCCACATTATCTGGACAATCGGCTCAAAGATGACGGTATGGTTATCAGCCTTACGCGCCGGCCGCGCTTTACTTCCCAGGAAAATTATTTAATTAATTCCTGGTACTCATTTCTGTTAGAGGCTGAGTCGACCCCAGGGCCATAGTGCGGCGGGAAGGATTAGGTTAATTGAAAAAAAATCCAATGACCACTACCTTCAGGCTTGTAGCATAGCCCCTCAAGCAACTACGCTACCGCGTGCCCCCCTTTATGTAGACGTCCCCAAGCTATTATAATGTCCTTCTCTGTTTCCATATCTTTTCCCTTCATTCATTTCGAGGAATATTTGCCCATAAATGTCTGCTGGAAGAGATGATTAAAGTTGAGCCACTGCTGCCCCCTTCCAGCCACAACCTAAACTGCTACCTCAACATGTTCATTTAATTTGTGTGCTTAAGAAAAGAACTTTTCTAAACGCCTGTCTCGCTGACTAGGTGACTGCTTGGGGAGGAAGACGAAAATACGTATAATCCAAGCATTAAAAGAATTTAGGAAGAGTCTTGACGTCAAACTGAAAGATGAATAATGAGGTACAGAATGAAGTTAAGGATTTATAAAATGATGGGAGAGTGACTGCTACTGGAAGTAAAAATACCTCAAAATGTGAAAGGCAAGGAAGAAGGCTGTACCTCACTCCAACTTCCTCCGTAGGCGTGTAACTCGGCAAAATGTAAAAGGTAAGGTAAAGTTACCCCTTAGATGGAGGTGAGGACAGTTTCACGCCCCAGCCGCTTTACTCTCGGGGAAAAAGTCAACGGTACCCATTGTAGAGGAGGTTGGGTAGACCTCAGAGACGGTGTGGACGACATGGAGGAGTGAAAATTATTGCCCCCACCGGGACTAGAACTCCGACCCCTTGGTCATTGCTTGTAGTCTGTTGGTGGGCTAGGCTGTCACTTTTATATAAACGATATTTCTATACTTCCGGTCTTACAAGATCATCGTCACGTGGACACTTGTATGTAACTGTAGCGCCGTACTGCATTTCTAGCTCAGTTCTAAAACTTGGTTAAAACTTGGTCAACTATAAAACACAATAGAGTAAAGCAAATACGAAAAAGTATCTACCTGATGATGAACTTTTAAGGTCGAAACATGTCGCAAAAACTGACAACCTAGCACATTACCCGTCTACGAACACAAGACTGCCCCTACAAATGAAATGGTCAACCAGTGCATCAGGAGAGCGGGGGCAGCGCAGTCGGTAGAGCGAAAGGCTACGGGGTGTACGGTCGAGGGGTCGGAGATCTGAGTCTCGGTAGGGGCAAAGTTTCTCTCCAGCCCACGCCATCAGGACCGGTTCTGGGGCCCACGCAGCCTCCTATCCAATGGGTACACCAGATGGGCATCCTTCCCAGGGAGTAAAGTGGCCGAGGCGTGAAGCTGACCACATATTGTTTGGGGACTTTGCTTGGTGTCCGGGGTTCTTAGCAGAGGAAAGAGATTCCCTCCTCCTCCATCGCATCTTCTTTGGCGGTAATGCGGTAGGGGCGTGAAGCTGACCACTAACCTCCAACTAGTATCGAGGTTAAAATTGGTGGAGCTACACCTCCAGTCCACCACATATCTTCATGTCGTGGTGTTTAATTAATTAGGAGCACAGACAAGTTACCCTTTCACCATTTTTTATGGGGACTCTTCTTTCCTTTTTGAAGGTCCCCCCATTTCACTCTGTGTTGGGAATCGATTCCCAGTATCCTTAAATCATGAGTGTTATAAATATACAGCCTATAAATTACCAACTTCCATCTAATCAATCGAAACAAATGATACAGCTGTGGATTGTTATCCATGCAATCATATATTTTTCCCCCACCAAAGGTCCTAACTTCTAACAGACGGCACAACCTGTTCGACCTCTTCAAGACATTGATTTATGTCCCTTTCGCTTCTCCAAGAATCCCTTCCTCACACCACCATTTACATTTTTTTAACGCTGAATGTCACACAGAATCCGGTCTTAACTCGGCACAAGGAAAGTGTAATGCTTTCTGCTCTCCGGCTTTCAGCGTCATGAACAGCGGCATTAACGCAAGTCACAAAATGCTTCTTCGTGTTCAGATAACAGCCATCATATACTGCAGTTATCGAAATGAGCAGGCACAAAGGCAACATCAAATCAACAGATTGAAACAAGGCGTGGTAAAGTTGAACTTGTGCTTAATTAGTTAAGCACCGAGCCATGAACACGGGGTAGTGCACGTATAGCTCCACAATTCTTGAACTCGGCATTATGTGAGATGGGTGGTCAGCTTTACTCCCCGGCGGTTTTACCTCCGGCACCCACTGTATAGGAGGCCGGATGCTGTGGAGTAGAGAAAAATCCAGAGAATCGAACCCCGGCCGTCCAGCCTGTAGCTCGTCGTTATTACGGCTCAAGTTGAAACAGCCATAGCCAAAAATCTACTTAGAAGAGAACCAGCTCTGCTAGTGCATTAATACAATTTTTTTTTTTTTTNTCTTGCATTCCACAACAACAAAGTGGGACTTGTCATCAAACTAACAAACAAAAGAAGCGAATCTGAACAGGCGAGTAGTTTTCCAGAGGCCGCAAATTTGAACGTCAAAAATATTTTTTGACAGTCACTGAACAAAGAGATAAAACTCCGGCATAGCACTCCCTGGTTTACAGTCTCCTTCAACTGACCATGAGAGTAGCTTAACAGATCACCGCTGTCTTACACGGTATCAGGTAGACAGCATCCGTGGTGACGGCACAGCTCACCACTGCCACTGCTGCGGTGTGAATCTCGTATAATTTTCTGGCACGCTGTTCCCCATCACGTTACAAACAAACAAAAAAACTCAGTGGCCTGTAGTCCGCAAGCGAACTATACCGACCGAGCCACCGCCGCTTGTCGGCGAAGTTAGTGCCAACTTTAGCGGATAGAAGGTGTCATGTGGTCAGCGCAACGGATCCCCACGGCCGTTAATTTCGGTTTTCTAGACCGCAGCTGCTATTTCCTTCAAATAGCTTCTCAATTATTCTCACGAGGCTGAGTGGACCCCGTTCCAGACCCACTACTTTTCAGAAAATTTGGTAGCGCTGGGAATCAAACCCAGTACCTCTATATCTGTACCCAGGAACTCTGGCCACTTGACCATGGAGGTATACGTCGCCTGCGGACTAAAACCACATAGTCTGTTGTTGTAATTATCCTATATTGACAAAATGTGGACTGAGTCGAAGGTTTTGAAAACGGGCGAAATATACCATTCATTCTTTATATGAACCAATGAAGGAACACACAGCCGTTAATTCATGGCGTGTGTTTCATGAAATGCCTGGAACATACGTATATGTATGGCCATGGAAGATAATAAGAACAGATTTAAGCAAACTGAAGCATGGGCCTATATGTATTGGGGGGAACCTTGGGATTGCACATGAAAAGGTAAAGTTGTCCCCGTGTTTAATTAATTCCGCACTATGCCATGAAAACTGTACAGGAGAGTGGAGGTCTATCCACGTGCTCTTAATCTCGCTACTAGATGGAGGTGAGTGACCCGGCAAACTTACCCCAGGGAAAGAGCCCCTGGTATTCATTGCATAGCAGGCTGGCTGTGTAGAAACGGACGTTGGAGTGGATAAAAATATATTTCCCCTCTTGGAAATCGAAACCAANTACTAAATTTCTTATGCTACACCTTGGGTGTTTAAACAGTAATAGATATGGGCAACTGATTTTGAATAGTCAAGCACAATCACAAATATTAAATAAATTCAGAATGTATTCTCATGGGCTACGAAACCATGTATGCAGTCTTGAAGGTGGATACGGTGTCACGACTCAGAAGAACACAATCTGAAAAATCATCACTACGAAAACCGCTAAACGTATGAAATAAATGATTATAAAAATTTGTTAATTCTGAATACACCACCCTCTCTGCTGCGTTTTGGCAAATTCAACCTCTCTTATGCGAAGCGTGTTAGAGGGCGTCTATCTGCCAGCAGAAAATAATTTGAGATTGTCTTACACATCCAATCGCTTAAGGCTTTAAAAAAAGAAAGGCAAAACTATTCCTGTAACAGGCCGTGAAGGGCCACAGGACTGTGAGATGTCGAGGCTCTCACATTTTCTAGACATTCGGCTCACAGACGGTGGTGAGGTTCTCAGCCTTATGCGCAGGCCGCCCTTTACTCTCAGGAAGATTCCTGGTACTCATTTCTGTTAGAGGATGAGTCGATCCCAGGGCCATAGTGCGACTGGACGGATTAGGTCAATTGAAAAAAATTAAATGGCCTCATCGGGAATCGAACCCACGACCTTCCGGCTTATAGCATAGTGCCTCAACCAACTACGTTACCGCCTGGAGTTATTAAACATGAAAAAAAAACTGTCTGCGAATTTACACCTAGGCTCTTCTACCCACGAGCAAATAAACCCCCTACGTACCCACAGATCAGTCGGCTGGACAGGGATAACACTACGAATTCCCCTATCTGGACTTGAACCACGGCCATCTAAACCAGAGCTCTTCACTTCATTGGTTTAGATATACACTTTGTATCTAGTATCATGTATTATTAGTTTTGTGAATGATCCCTGTTAACAAATGCATTAATACAATGACACTTCACTGCAAATCGAAATTAAACTGATTCATCATGACGAGAAATGATCTGATACTTACATGCCGCTCTTCAGCTGAGTTGAGCCCTGGTTCCGACAGCACAAGACGTACATCAAGACAACGGGCACGTAGGCAGGGCCGATGACATGGAAAAGAAAGCAAGGAGACAATGTATTCAAATGTTTCAACTTGGTGGCGCAGAAAGGAGGTGGAAGGAAACTACAAAGATATAAATGGTGGGTGCAAAAAACGGAGCACAAGAGAAAGAGGGGGTAGGAGTGGGGAAGGTGGAAGAAGGATCTGAAGATGGAAGTGAGAAGACAAAAGCACAACCTCTGTTTGCTTGTTTATGAACTTGCACAAATTATATCGGAAAATTTTATAAGGCAGAGAATAAACAACGAAGCAAAAAGAATGTCTGTCCTCTTTCAAATACTAGTTCACATAAAAACATTCGAGTGCGAGATTATAGTCTCATGAGATGTGCCGCCGTAGAGTCTGAGAGACAGAAACCAAGGCTACTGCCTTCCACTGATGAGATGCGCAATTCGGGCCTGAGCCCGGACGCCGACTAGTCCAACTCGGTGGTTCTCAACCTTTGCGAGACCGCGGCCCGGTATATTCTTCTTTTATATATAAGACGAGGGTCCGGTACCGGGCCACGGCCCGGCGGTTGAGAAACACTGATCTAGCTGACATCTATACACTCCCTCAGACCCTTCAAGGAATTACCACGGTAGTACCTGGAACAGGCCACGGCCGCTTCCTTCCAAATCGTTATAACTTCCATCGAATCTTTCGACGCTGTATAGTCTCAATAGTGACAGCGTCATAAAACATACCACAAAGTCTTGGGGAATTCGCTGACTCCATCTTCAGGGTACAAGGGACCTTGAAGATGGAGAAGACAGGTTCCTCTGAAATGTCATTTCTTTCTGCGGTTCTTATTTAATGACGCTGTCAGTATCGAGATTAAGCAGCCATTGATGATAGGAAGATTAATGAATGTTGAGCAGTTGGAATGAGAACTAGTAAGGGAAACGAAAGCACTCGAAGAAAACCTGCCCCAATGCCACTTTCTCTACAACAAACCCCACATGATCTGAGCAGGGAGTGGACACGGTTCCCCGGAGTGGGAAGCCGGCGACTGAGCAAGTTGCAGAAGTACCAGAAGACGTGATTTCCAACAATCATCGCCACGAGAAAGGTAAATCACATATCCGAAAGCAACCATTTTCTCTTGTACAATAAAAGACGTACAAATGCTTCCCTTTAAAGTCTCTTGATACAGAAATAAGAAGTGTTTGATCGTCTCTGGCTGGACAGCATGAAACTGTCGGCATCGGTAAACATGACATGGGAGAACAGAGCACGAACCGACTGCAGCTATCCCAGGATAATGAACTGACTGCACTGGCGCACGGAAGAATTCTCTAACTGCGAAATGAAATTACCCGATCGTCACACGAGGGAAAATACCGTAAAACCAAAGCGAAACAAAAAAAAATATATATAAAATAATTATAATAGTTTTAAGTGGAGCGCTCTTTTGAGCGTGACTATAAACTTTCGGCTAGCATAAAAGATGGAGAATTACAGCTCAGGCCAGCTTTGTCTCCGGTAATCTAGGTGCCTTTTTCTGTGTTTGTGTACAGGTAGAGGCTTTGCGACGAGTTGATCACCCGCCCAAGGAGTCCTACCGAATGTCTAAGATCTAGTAAACCGAAGTGAAACTGAGACTTTCGTGGAGGTGGACCAAAGCCCAATTTGGGGCTGTAGCGCCAAAGGGAAAATATAAATACATATAATTCCCTTACATAGGGCCTACACAAAAATCACCTGATTCAACATTTTTTCAGACTATACTTAAACGGCAATTAATTAAAATGAAAACCAAAGCGTAAGGCGGTAAATAAATATAAAATAAAACATAACACATCGTATTTTTTTAAAAAACTATTCAGATAAAGTACAGTCACGAGTGCACATGCGTATGACTGGAAGTTTCATTGGGCTTGCACTACGCTGCTCGAAATTGACGAGACATTTCACACCACGTGACTAGTCGTCGTCCTCCATTGCTCCTAACATTTCTACCTCTCTCCACTAACCTCTCCTTTCTTCTCTGATTATTCCAGAAGACTCAGCGCGGCAAGCAACCCCTTGGGAATGTAGGATGAAAGCTGAAGTTGCTATAGGAGATAGTGGAGTGGTTTGGAGGGAGGAAATGAAGCTCCTTACAGCCTTCTCATATCGTTGTCATGACAACCACACTGGAGATCTTGGCTGGCATCTTCCGCTTTCCTTCCATTCCACCTCCTCCCACCCTACTGCCATCAGTTTGCTGAGAATATCTTCACAGTAAGAGGCAGCAGTGTACAGTGCTGATCATATGAACTGCATCAGTCTGAGGGACTCTTGCTGTAAGGCAAGGTAAGGTAAAGTTGTCCTGTGCTTGACTAATTAAGCACTACGCCATAAAGGAGTATGGGGGCTGGTTGTAAAGCAAGAGGAAACAGAAAGGTCGTGTAACTCAGTGGGGGGAACAAAGAAATGCGTACAAACTTTATGGAAATATGTCTTGGACGACTGAAACTTTAAAATTGAAAAGGGTAATATTAAGTTTAAGCTATGCAAAACCGATTGTGAGGTCGGGAACAGGACTCAACTATCTCATGACTGTGTCAAATGCAGATGTTTTCGATCAGTGATACTTAAGCACAGTTGTATTAACAGAATGCAGTTGTTTGCAAAGTACAGGTTCTGCAAAACATCTGACTACCAACATTTGGTATCGAAGTAAAGTCCTTGTGGTTAAGCAGAGTTATGGTTATGTACATGTAAACAGCTTTGCTTTCTGCCTTCTTGCTTGGCTTACTCTTGAACCTTGAAGATGGAGGTGATGTTCCTCCGAAAAGTCGGTTGACTTTCAAAATACTACACAGCGTTATACCCGAGAGTACAGAATGCTTCGTAACGACCAGTGTCAGAAACTAAAATTCTATTCATACTGTGTCTACTGAGAATATGTGACCTCAGAGAGAGGAATTACGGAAGGATGGACAAAACTGTATAATAAGGCGCTTCATAATTTGTATGTTTCACTAAATACGAGTATTATTAGAGTCAAGGAGGATGATATAGCCGGGTGGAATGCAACACGCATGATAGAGATATACATAACATTTTTGTCGGTGAACTTGAAGCAATGAATGGCCGAACACTGTCAAAATGGATCTTAACGCAAGACAGCGTGAGAATGTGGGATGGATTCAACTGCTTAGGATGGAGTAGTCCCTGCAGCGATAGGCTCCTGTCAATACGGTAACGAACCTTCGGTTCTATACAAGGCGAGGAACATAATTGGCAAACTCAGTGGGTATATCCACGGATCACGGGCCGGACGGCTGGGGTTCGATTCCTGGAAGGGAAAGAAATTTTACTCTACTCCATGGCGCCCAGACCGGCTCTGGGGCGGACCCAGTCTCTTATACAATGTGTTCCGAGGGATGTTTCCAAGGGGGTGACGCAGCTGGGCAATGAACCTAACCATTCACCTCCATCTAGTGCCGGGGTGGAGAATGGTGGAACTACACTTCGACTTCATGGCGAAGTGCTTATTTCATTAAGTAATGGTACAACTTGGGAGCCGGGATAGCGTAGTTGGTATAGGGACTGGCTACGGGCTGGACGGCCAAGGGGTCGGAGTTCGAGTCCCGGTAAGGTCAAGAATTTCTCTTATCCACGTGGCCCAGACCGGCTCTGAGGTCCACCCAACCTCCTATCCAATGGGTACCGGGGGCTCTTTCCGATGGGTAAAGCGACCGGGCCGTGATACTGACCACTCACCTCCAACTAGTGCCGAGGTCAAGAAATGTGGATCTATACATCCGCTCCTCATACGCCTCCATGGCACAGCGCTTAATTAGTTAAACACAGGGACAACTTACCTTTACTGGCACAAATTAATCTAACAAGAGTAGCAGTTTCTTAGAGAATCTACACTTTGGAGTTAAGTTATCCGATATGCACCAGCTGAATTCATCTCAAGGCGATCATGTTCGGGGCATTCGGGCTGCTTTTCTGTAGAGCCAGAGGTCTGTCTTCGGGAGTCAAGTCTTGTGAGCACGGCTGTCCATGTGTTCGGCCAGTGTGCACTTATGCCTCTTTGTCCTCCACCCCCCCATCCGCTTTCCACCCCACGAGCAATGTAAGCACAATACAAGGCAACCATCTTGGAGCCGACGACATCGTCTCCCAATTCCGGAATAAGTTCGCGTCAGCGACCTATGCTTACACTACATACCGGGTGTTCATTTTGATTCATTAGCAAACAACGTGACGGGTGTCGCACTTTCACAAGTGGCAGCACCGATAACTCTCCGGTCTGTTAAGTCAGAGAGACTTCGCCCCATTCCAAGTTTTACACTCTACCGCGCTTTATCACATCTGCAGTGTCCTGTCATTTCGCCTGTTCTTCCCTGTGATCATACTTCAGGTATTCCACACAACACGCAAGCCTCTCCCCCCCCTCTCGCTTTCACGCCTTTTGGACATTGGAAGCTTGTCAGTTTCTTAATCCTATACACAGTCGTTAGGACTCTTTGGACGGGGGATCAGCCCTGCGCAAGGCCGCTATCTCCATACAAAACAACACAAACACAGAACAAACGAACAGAGGCATCCATACCTCTAGTGGGACTTGAACCCACGACCCTAGTGTTCGAGCGGGCGAAGACGGTTCATGCCTTAGACCGCGCGGCCACTGTGATCGGCATGCATGCCTCTTGCAATGCATTTTTACGGTCAAAACAACGGTCCTTCCATACAGCGCGCGCAAAAGAAAACAATACTTTATAAATACCGCTTATAAAATAAACTTTCCATGTTGTTTTGTACACATGGGGAGCCGGGCCAGCGCAGCCGGTCAGTTTAGCGACTGGCTACGGACAGGACGAGAAAGCGGAATCTGAGTCCCGATAGGGTCAAACCCTTTCTTCTCTCCATGCTGTTCATACCGGTTCTGGGGACTACCCAACCTGGGGTTCCTTCCCCGAGGGTAAAGCGGCAAAGTCGTCAAACTGAC